ACGGAGGGGCTGCCTAGATACTTGTTATTGGAAGGAGATGAGGAAGGGAAGAAGTTGGTGGCTAGGTTCCGTTGTGGAAACGAGGAGAGAGCTAACAGATACTGGATGGCCGATGAGGAGAGGTGGTGTAGGCTATGCAGGGAGGAATGGGAAACGTTGGAACATATGTTGAATGGGTGCAGTGAGTTGAGGGAGGAGGAGTTGGACCGAGGGCAGATCTTAGGAGAGGGGGGAGAGGGGAAACGATGGATGAGAATGGTTGTGGGGGTAAGGAGACAAAGGGAAGGATGAGGGGATGATTGGGCCGAGGAGCCGAGGGTATGGAAATGGAGGAAGAGGGTAGAGAGTGAAAATAATATACTAATAATATATATATTAGAATGTATAAAGGGGATAAAAATTGTAAATATTAAAAACAATAAAATGCTTATTAATTACTTCTGAGAACAAAAGTGCAAGAGAGCAATATTGTTAAGAATAAAATTTGTTACAACCTTTGTTCAGAAAGTTTTTTTGTAATATGATTCGTAGAACAACGCAATTTATTAAATTCTCATATTTTTGTATTTTTCTCGATATCTACGCATCTGAGAGCAAAACTGGAAGAGAGCAATATTGTTAAGAATACAATTTGCCACAACATTTGTTCCAAAAGTTTTTTTGTAATATGATCCCTTTCCAGACTTCTACCATTAACAATTTGTGGAACAACGAAATTCTTCAAATTTGCATATTCTTGTATTTTTCTCGATATCTATGCATCTTAGAGCAAAAATTCTAGAGAACAATATTGTTAAGAATAAAATTTGCTACAACTTTTGTTCCAAACTTATTTTTTGTAATATGATTCGTAGAACAACGCAATTTATTAAATTCTCATATTTTCTCGTATTTTTCTCGATATCTATGCATCTTAGAGCAAAAATTCTAGAGAACAATATTGTTAAGAATAAAATTTGCTACAACTTTTGTTCCAAATTAATTTTTGTAATCTGATCCGTTTTTCTAATGCTATCATTAATAACTTGTAAAACAACGAAATTCATCAAATTTTTATATTCTCATATTTTTCTCGATATCTATGCCTGTGAGAACAAAAATGCAAGAGAGCAATATTGTTAAGAATAAAATTTGCTATAACTTCTGTCCTATATGTTTTTTTGTAATAAGATCCTTTTTGTTTGTCACTGACTTACTTAATCTGGAAAGGAGAGTTTTGTAAGCAGAATGAGGAAACAGCAATATATGTTTATGGGAAGCTAGAACAGTCTCAATTTATCAAATTGAGGGATGTCTAAGACGATCAGGAACGATATCGGTAGGTATCAAACATGTCAAGGAAACCAAATACAATGTTTAAAACAAAATTTTTCATTTAAAATATAGTACAAATTTAGTCAACCAATTTATCAAATTCTTATATTTTTGTATTTTTCTCGATATCTACGCATCTGAGAGCAAAACTGGAAGAGAGCAATATTGTTAAGAATACAATTTGCCACAACATTTGTTCCAAA